ACTCCTCTTTTTAAGCACCCATTCCAGCAGGCCCATGGAAGGAGGATCCCTAAAACTTCTCAAGTTGTGGTAGTTTCTGCACACAATGGTGTCCTGTGGAAAGGAGGGTTCGGGCAAGTCTGATTCTTGTTAGGGGCGAAGCGTGAAGCAGAGAGGGAAGGAATGGCATGGAAGCCCAAGGAATGGTGGGTATTCAGAGTCTCTGGGAAGAGTATGCAGGGAGATCCAGAACAAGACAGACAGGTCTAGTACACTGAGGAGGTGGAGCTTTTCCTCAGTACAAGGCTCCCGAAGCACAGGAGACAGGTGACTGGATTTTGCACTTTAGAAAAGATCACTCTTCCATAAAGAGTAAAAATTAGTGATCAATGTGATTGACATTTAGAATCATAACTCATCAGAAGAAAAGAGGGGAAAGAGGCAAGCATCACTGAGTAACTCTCCTGCAGGTTGGAACAATACTGGGACCATGTTAAAAACATACTGCAGGCAATGGCTGAACTATCTTGGTCTGGGGCATTTCAACTTATTCTTGAGTAACTCAGCCCTGGAACTTCAGTTGCTTGAACTCAGAAACTCCTGTAGCTCAGGGACTTGAAAGGGTGTGCCAACCAGCAAGACACCAGCCTCCAGGTGCCTTGCTCAGGTATGGATATGCAGTACAGAGAAACCTCAACAGGGACTACATATTCAGACCTCTACGGTGGCCTGAGAACAGGCACATGGGCCAGAATCACATTCCATACCTGTGATGGTCAATTTGACACATCCAGGGAGAGGGAGCCTCAACCGAAGAATTTCCTCCACCAGACTGACCTATGGGCATGTCTATAAGGCATTTTCTTGATTGCTAATTGATGTAGGTGGACCCAGACCACTATGGGTGGTGCCATCCCTAGGCAGGTAGGTCTGGGCTGTATAAGAAAGGGAGCTGAATGTGAATGAGGCTGGCAGCAAACCAGTAAACAGGCTCCTCCATGGTCTCTGCTTCAGTTCCTGCCTCTAGGTACCTGCCTTGAGTTCCTGCCTTGCCTTCCCTCAATGATGGACTGTGACTTGCAAACTGAAATGAACCCTCTTCAGTTCATTTTGGTCAATGTTTTATCACAGCAACAGAAAGGAAACTAGAGCACCCTCTGCAGAATAAACACGTAAATCTCCACAAACCAAGTTTCCTTCGGAGCCCTAAGTCTGACCATCCCACTTTGAACTCAGCAAAATGAAAGAAGAAAAGTAAAAAAGGTAGGGGTGTTTTTCAGAACCTACCACTGTCATGTCTAAGTGGCAGAGGTTTTTGGCTAAGTCCTGGTGAGGCTATTGTTCTAAAACCCTACAGCCTGGTCCATCAGGAACTGGCTCAGAGGACCCCAATTAGGAGTTAGCCAGTTTTCTGGATGCAATAGAAACCCCCTCCCCTCTCCTAGCAGATACTATAGTCAGCTTCTATCTACCAGCTGCTGAGCTCCTCCAACATCCCAAGTCCTTTCATTGTATCTCATAGGATGATACAGAGCTATGTACACACCCTCCTTGGATCCCATGGTGATACAGAGTTATCTGTACAGACATTTCTGTCCACTGAGAAAAGGAAGTAAGGGAATTGAGGAGAGTACCTGCCTGATCCTTTCACAGGCCAGTCAAGGGGAATTCCTTATTTTGAATCAATAAGGCAGAAACAGAACCCTGGTGAGTGGAGTTTTAGCTAGGGAGAGATGGGCAGGCCTGTTCTGGGTTTTAAGAGAGGAAGCCTTTGCCAGGAGAAGGGCCGGCCAGGAAACATTCTTATCCATGGCCTTGTTTGGGATTGTTTTGGTTGGGTTTTTATGTGCCACTGAGGGGTCACAATACCAGCTATGCCAGCCCACAGTCTCCTCTTATCAACAAAGCACCGTGCTGGAGAGAACCCTTGATAGGCCTAGCGTCTCGCTCTGCTATCTAGCCCAGTGACTTAGTCCAAATTACCCAGTTGCAGTAAACACTGAGTACCATCCACTCCAGGCACACAACCTGACCACACAGCTGACTTTCAAAGACTTTCAAAGCCTTATACTGTGAGATTAACCTTCAATTACAAACTTCCTTTCAAAATCATGAAGTCATTCAAGTCACTGTCTTTTTTTTAATGCTCCCCCACACATTCCCCAAGGTCATCTTTCTAGCTGTGCTTACTCTCCAAACAATTTATCTTCTGCTGTTGCCATAGATAAAAACTATTTTTAGTGCACAACTGGTTTGAAGGCAGATTTTTTTTTTCTAATTTCACAACTATGGCTGGTTGGTGTCCATACACACCTCTCAAGAGTTTTATCAGCTAACAGAAATCACTTTCCCCACCTGGTTCCCCCTCCTGCTCCTGAGATGATTTCAGATAAGAAGGTAAGTACACTTGCAGGTGGCAGTCACTGAACAAAGGGTAACCTGTGGCAGCCTGATCAGCCTCACTGACTCAGGAACTCCTGCACAGTGTCTGCCACCACCACCACCACTCCTGATTGACCTCAATGCCTGCACCAACACAGCCTCGTTCTCCCCAGTGCTAATGATTTAATAAGTTATTTGGATGAAACAGAAGATCTATTTTAATGACTGAAGGCATATTCAATTTTTCAGTGTGGCTACATGACACTGATATTTACAAAGTTCATTGTCAAGAATCATGCAATCAAGTTACAAAAAATAAAGTTAACTCATAATGTTTTAAGAACGTTTACAATTTTGTCTTGGACCACATTCATAGCTGCCCTAGGACATAATGCAGGCCTCAGGCCATAGGATGAACACACCTGAAAGCGTTCTTGTTCAAGACCATCCCTTGTCCATCATCAGAGGAAAATGTGGAAATGTACAAGATTTATCAAAACCTTTTCAACTTCAGGAACATTTTTTCATGATTATTTACTTGGCATATAATTTTATTTTCAAGACATCCTGTTCTTGCATTTCTAAATTTTTTTTAAAAAAATGTTTTGTTCCAAAGCAGGTCTGATATGGATTATTATACACTCTGTGTCAAGTATCCCATTGAGACAACCAATAGTTCTCTTTTCAGTACCAAACTTGTCAATTGACCTACAAATTCCTACTCATGCTGAGAGATTAACTCCCACCTTGCCTCAGGGAGAGGCCACCCTCAAATACCTTAGAAAGACCCAACATCCCCCACCCCCCACTCCTCCAGTCCCCCACACACACCCCAGTC